GGGTGTCAGATTTTCACGGACCCTGATCACGCATTGAAACTAAGTCATAACACCTCATTGCAAGACCGCCATTTAAAGATGGTCACATGATATATCCGGTTGGAAGGTAGCAGGCATTTCTCGCTTTGTGTTCCCTAGTCATGGGGTGCTCTTTCGAATTCTGTCATTCACGTTCCTAGGTAAATGGAGTTTAAAATTTCAGCCAATTTTGTAGTATTTCAAATACATTGCGTGGTTTAGCTTAAGTTATTTGACAAAGTATAATGTGGGTGCAAATGTAACATTTACGTTGACTCTACCATTATGTGCTATTTTATCGACATAGTTTATTCGGTTTCACTAATTTTAACTATGAGACTTCTAAAGCAGTCTGTAGTATTCTTAGAGTGGAATAGGTAGAAATTCCTCACATCTAGACTCATTCAGACAGTCACCACACGCCCGGAAAAGCACAGTACGCGCGTTTCATCCTTTCGGTAATCATCAGCAGTGCACATTCCATCGGACTCTTGGTAGGGCTCGAACCCGCAACTCGACTGTTGCCAGTCCGTGGTTGGGACCACTGAGCTACGGGAGACGGCAACGACCATTGTGACTAAGTTACTAGATGTGATATACCGCCGCTCACTATCCACTGACTTACACGTAACTGCCCCCCTCACCAAGCGACTAGCTTACCAAACTTAAGCCGCTAGTTAACTTATGGCATTATAAGCAGTTTGTTTTGCGTACTGATTATAGAAGATTAGTAGGGGGAGTTGAATGTCCTCTGCACGGCAGTAACGTGTAAGTCAGTGGATTGTGAGCGGCGCTATATCACATCTAGTAACTTATTCACGATGGTCGTTGCCGTCTCCAGTAGCTCAATGGTCTCAACCACGGACTGGCAACAGTCGAGTTGCGGGTTCGAGCTCTACCCAGGGTCCGATGGAATGCGCACTGCTGATGATTCCCGAACGGATGAAACGCGCGTACGGTGCTTTTCCGGGCGTGTGGCGACTGTCTGAGTGAGTCTAGATGTGACGAATTTCTATGTATTCCATTCAACTCCCCCTACTAATCTTCTGTATTCTTAGAGTATCGGACTAATACCGCGTAAGTAACGAATATCCACAAGTAGGAGAAGACAAATAGTTGTGGACAGAATCACGATAGAAGTACAGAAAGTAGAAATCGGTTAAGCACAGAAAGCACTTATGTAGCATTGGCACAGCTACAGTCGCCTCAGCCAGTGACACGGACTGGGGGACGGTCACGTGCTCAGAGGAATTCACCACAGGCTGCAGGAGTAATGGTGACCTGAATGTCGGACGTGTCCTGAACTCCAGTGTGTCACGTGTGAGCTTCACAATCAGGCGACAAACATGAGTCACTGCACGTATGCACACAGGGCTGACAGGCAGGTAAACTGTCAGTCGCGCTTTTGCTCTTCCTAAATCCATTGTTCTATTGACCGAATTGAAAAACCCGCTATCGCTACGCGCTCATGGAGCTCACAAAGCTGATGGTATTCAAATCAAAGTGCTGGAGCTGACCGCGGCGATGGCAGCCTAGCCATAGTCCTGACCATTTCAAAGGTGCGAACATGAACTACCTGCCCCAGACATGTGAAAACATGGCACGAATGCTCCGATTTTTGAAACCATTGGCTGTTTCCAATCTTCAGTTACACTTAGTGATCCTCTTCCTACTGCTCTAAATTGCTGGGGTAGATAATCGTTGGCGTACCAATAGACAAACTTACATCAAAGTGCCGTAGCTACATGCTTTTGGCCAACACCCATCAAGTACTGCAAAATTACAGCTTACACTTGATAGTCCAGCTGAAATTGCATATATGAATATCCTAATGGATGTCGTCCATTAACTGTTACAAACCTTTCACCTTTCGGAATATCTAGTCTTTACTTATATACAACGAGGCCACAGACCTAGTAATTCTATCTCTGGGTGAATGGGAAACACTTCTTCAGCGGCGGATGCAGGTGCGGTTTCGTGGCTTATCGATGGAGTCGACTGATGTGAATGGAATGTCATATTAGTTTGATAGCTGGGATGGAGCCTATATTTGGTCTTCACTGACGAATTCGTTGCGAATTTCCTGTTTTTCTCCGTAACCTAAAAGCATGGCGCGCCATTGTTAATAAGTAATAACACGATTTGTTACGTGGATACCTGAACAGCGCTTAAGAATGGTCCACGACCTGTTTTGTTCCAGTTAAGCCAGATTAAATGCATAGCGGTCCATGCACGTCATAGCACACCCGTGTTCAGTGACCCCATCTTGCATACGCCCACCAAGATTCGATCTTGGGGTAATGGATCAAGATGAATTTGGTTACCTGGAGCAATTAGTGAATGCATCTAAATAGGAGATTGATAGGTGCAGTCTTGCGTAGTGGTTCCGGTTGGTTGTACCTTTCCATCCTTCCGCAATTACTGAACGTATAATGTAGCCCCGTGCGAAGAACATCACCCAAATCTGATAATCATGACACAGGTGCGATATGGCTGCACTCTAGACCACACGGTTAAGGTCGACTGAGAATGTACATAATTTGTTCCTGTTGACAAACAAAGCGTGCGTGTAAAGTATAATTGCAAAATGGCTGAACTCCTAACATACCAGGTCCTGAAAAAATCACCGTCACTTCCACCACCAGCTTCTGAAAAGTAACCACAGCATTGGCCTGAGTGATCAGTAGCTGAAGCTGATAGCTCAACATACCCGGTTAGAAAGATTCAGGAATATCTTCCCTCCGAACTTTGTCCCTTGTGAAAAGCTGTGCCGATGTCTGTCATTTCAACATCCATGTAATCCGCTTTTCAAAAATAGGTAGCCGATGCGTTGCAACATCTTTAGTATGTGATTAGATCAGCGCTTATCAGATGACGACAAGGCAAATAAATATTGTACTTACTACTTCCTTCCCGTGGAATCCAGGTGAACGGATGTATGTTCGTGTTAACGTGAACCGATTGTTGAGTCTGTGGATTAGATTTCTCTTTGGATCCATGGTCTTTGCCCACACTTTCCTGCAAGACTTTGTAAGAGTTAGCTTTTTGCCTATGTTATGTCACTGTTCCATAGTTTTATATTCACCAGATAAGAACCGACTAACCTGTGTGAGTCGACGAATACTCAAAAAATTATTGACAGTTATGTTCGTCTTTTTCCGCTGGAAGGTGTTGCAGGCCAGAGCACAGCATAGGTAGACGATTTCCGTGACTGATTCACACAGACCCATGAGAATAAACTCCACCTAATCGGGCCCGGTTTGTTTCTTAGACTTAACCATTAGCAGGAAGGGTTCTTGAGGCTATCAGACTAACCGTCATTAGTTTTAGTTCATACCAAAAGACGAATAAGACATCTTTAGCTTGGATGAATCGAGGGAGACTCTACAGAAACCTTCTACATTTCTGATTGGTATATTTGCATATTCCTAACAGACCATGGATGTAGAGTAAAAACATGATTTACTTCGACTGTATGTGCAATATATCGAATCTTTTCCCATCAAGTTGGCAGTATCGCTTCGTGCGAACCTAGCCGTGTAGCGTTAACCACCCACTTCTCAAGCTAGAGACGGCTAACCTCAAATTAAGTTCACTGCAATATTCATACTATGCATCCAGGAAGCCTTCTCGTACCGTGTTCCTAACGCAATACTCGATAGGTTCAAGTTCATGGTGGCAGCCATTTTGATTTCCTTATCCATCAATAAGTTTGCTTGTGTGGCTCTGTTATGCTGCACTGAATCGATGTGTTCGAGTATTTGTGAACTCTCGCTTTCCTCCGGAACGAAAAGTTGCAACTAGCTCTGCTTTTGCAACACGCTTGTCTAAGTGGCTCGCTCAAATATCCCCAAATACACAGAGTTTCCGCTGTACTGACATGAATGAGTGAAAAGTAGATACCTGCTGGTTGTATCCAACGTAGCTATATGAAGTGTGGCTTCCTTTCATTAATCGACTATGAACGCCAATCGCTCAGGACTGCTCATCACCAAATTGATTTGTGCCGCTACAGACAAATTTTCTCGAATCATGCACGATATAGTAATATTATTAGTAATTTTTAATATTTTTCTCATTCTTATTAACAGGGATCTGTAAAGGAAGATTCCGCTCTGGTCCATTTACTCGTTCGTTCCATCAGTATTCCTGATCATTACTGGTTCATCACATGCATCGCGTAAGTGAACTAAGAACACGTATAAAAGAAACCATATTTCTCTCGGGATAATAATAATCTATCTTTATATGCAATAAGTATACATTAAATTAGATTACACAAAATCTACACTCCTCATTGTTGATTTTTTTCAAGTAATGGATTGCAGTTGTTTCAGCGTACTTCCACCAGGTTGACAAGTGTATTCCCCACCGGTATGTCCGAGTCTGCTTCATAACATACTTTCAGACGAATCGGAAGAAAAGATCAGGTCAATTTCTGCCAAAACATCCACAGTCAGTTTCGGGTACACCTGTGTGTATTTCGGTTGGAATGGAATACAGGTGCAATAAAGGTTTGAGTAATGTTTTCGTCGGAAAATAGGCACGCTGCAATTCATTAACAAAAATATGAAACACAATCACGCAGTGTAAGCGAAGAAAACGTGCATGGATTTTTGAAGCTTTTGTCCACTTACAACCCGTTGCAAGGTATGCAAGAATAGACATGCTCCAGCATTTCACTGATTAAACTACCATCATCATTTAGGCGACCAGCTCCAACGTGAACGCTCTGATACCATTTTCTCCACTTTACTAATTTCGTAACCTGTCTCCATACTACTTGTGGAATTGAATATCGACAGAATTGTCTACGGAATTTTATGAATTTTGGTGTCCTAATGCTACTAATTGATGGGGTTATGCGATCAGAGGAACGAAACGGCTTTACATAACGAAGCAAACGAACGGAACAGATGATTGGACGCCAGCGCATCACCGCCACCGCGCTGGTTGTTTGATAATTGGCTGCGCTGGAGTGAGTTTGTTAGACTGAATCAAAGGAGGCATCTCTTGAGCACAGATGCTTCGGTAGTTATAGTAGTGATCTAGTTGTATATATCGAGACTTCCACTGGCTAGTTATCCTGTCGTTTTGGCTGAGATTACTATGTCGAATAAACTGCTTTTCCCTGAAGGGCTGAGTTCTGTGACACTAACCAATCATTTGAAGGAAGAGGCCTACCGGTTTTAGTCGCTCTTAAGTCTAGGTGAAATACGGAAAAGCACTACTATCCGAGGAGGTAAACGGATGACCGGTTCGTTACTGGATTTCAGAGGTAAGCCAAATGAATGGACCTGAGAAGTATCATTTCTATGATTTAGCTAAATCTCTTTCTAATACTCACGGCTGCCCAAACAAGGAACTCATGCTTCTGGGGATCGGTGGTGCTCGCTGCAAGTTGGAAACGAGCATGGCAGCAAAGTGCGGGTGGTTTCTAACCCAGCGCCAAATAAGCAGGATAGTGAGCTGATGTTGCTCATCTGTCCCACTGTAACGAAAGACCGAGATTGTTGCTGGCGCTTGTTCAAATTTGAGTCGTTACCTTGACGCCACCTTCCAGTTTGCTTTTCAGGGCGTCCTACTTGTTCAATTACACAAGAAGGACAAGAATCCGAAGAGAGCATTTAACTAGCCCACGTGTTGTTAAATAGAAGCTCTGTTTCGGTCCCTCGTTTTTTTCCTGCCTCGGATAGTACACCACTTCTGCAACCTTGTGTTTGTCCGCTATGTGCGAACAACTTACCAAGTGAACAGCATTTTCTCCTATTATTGTGAATCCAACAAACGGCTGACTAAACTGTGTCAACGAGACAAACCCCTAGGGTGTTGTCTCCAGTCGAAAATGGTGAGCCCTACAACAGCTATATGCTTTCGACTACGTAACTATCCAGGTCTTGCAACACCTAAATTAAAATGATAACGTATCACATAGGATCATTTTAGTCGGCGTCTTAACACAACTTCAAACAAGAAAGTATTTAAATACTAGCAGGTTGGGGTACATTATTTTAGATATCAATGATCCTTACATTTTTGGCAGTACTGTTCCTAAAATATTGCCGCTAAAATGTGATCTGTTCCACTCATTAAGCTTCAAGATCATGTCACATACAAAATGTTACATGCACAATAGAGGACGCTAGATTCGGTCCTAGTTTGCCAAGGCAGAAGCATTTCCCATCAATCTATCTTGGAGCTTTGTACTGTCTGACCTCTTAAACTGTAGGTTCTATCAACCAACTGAACTATGAGTTCAGAGGACACGACTGAGGGAATTCTAGTCGAACTACATCCCCCCTAGAGAAAGGGTCTTGTTGATCGGATAGATGTAGACTGTTTTGTTTTGGAATGAAATCACCAAGAGCTCCGTACATTTCCGTGGTTCGAACGGTACTACGATTCTTAATTCTCGATTAACAACAAATGGGCACTTTGAAATTATTCACAATTTCATCCATGTGATCTTAATGAATTGAATATTAATACTGCGCGCCGCAACATAATCATCTATGCTGATTGCTAAAAAGTATTGTGCGAAAAAATACTGCTCGCAGCCTGAGTTTGAGCCGGTTAGAAATTCAAACCTGAGGATACATACCTCACGCTTACAGTGCTATGGTTCATCCTATTCTGGCATTGTCACATTTAATGGATGCGGGTGCAAAACACTTCCAGATGACGACTGATGTGTTTCGTCATGTGCACTGTTCTACAGACCACCCTGCCCTTAGATTTACGTGGGCGGGGATGAGTAGCAGTTCCCAGGTTGCTGACCGGCGATATGCGCCAGTGAACAACGTAGCAGCGTTTTAAAACGTTCTTATAGTGATACTTATTCTCTCGGTCCATTGGTGAGGATTGAAATCGGGACCGATAGTGGCTTGCACCACTAGCCAGCACCTTATGCCACTGAGCCATGGGGGACGATAACATACCATCACGGACTGAAATGTAACTTCTAATCTAATTTCAGTCGGTGATGGTCGGCTTTCGTCCCGCATGGCTCAGTGGAATAAGCTGCTGGGTAGTGGTGCATGGCATGCTCCCATAGGGGCAAGAGGAAATGAGCACCACCGACGAGCCGCAATAGGGTAAGACGATCGACTAATGCTTTCCCGGATTGGCAGCCCACCTTTGCGGCTCGTAGTCTAACTGCGATGAACCGAATAAAATCACACCTAAATCCATCTACTCATTTGTAATTTCTGAGTGCTAAGAAGTGCAGTTCTCACCCCATCCTGCTACAGAAGATTGAGCACTTAGGATGACCCTGGGAAATACAACTACCAGCTTGCTAAAGTAAACCTGTGCTGAACCTACCTGCTCAGATAAAACCAAGGATTCTTCTGGACACCTAGGGTTGCTATGCCGTGGACAACACATGGGAAGTAGGGGAGAAGTAATTAATGCACGAACCGGGGTAATTCTGTGTTTATGCTATCTGGATCATGAAAACATTCATGAGCTCCCTTGGGTATGCATCTCAGCATGCCAACCGATGTGTACGTTCAGTTTATCTGACCTCTCGCATGTGGTTCGCAGTGCATTTGGACTATTTTCAGGATTCCGCCAAGTTATTAAAGATGAATCAGTGTTCCGATTACGTCGAAACTCCTGCTAAGCACAAATGAGGGTTAGTGTGCACTATCGTCCCTTTCAAATGCCGGCAAATTAGGAGGTCGCAAGACTACCGTGAATCAAACCGGTGAGTAAGTGTCGTTGTCAGTTTTTCAGAGAATATTAGTGGTTTTAACGTTCATGAAACACTTTTTCACGGTCGGAAGTAGTCATCAAAGTCATAGAATATCGAAAACCTCGAAGAAAAATATTTCGTCCATTTGGGACTCATCAATAGCGCACATCTATCGGATCTTCATGGATCTTATCGCGACTCAACAACTTGAATCACTGAACCATAAGTAACAGTGATGGATCACCAACTGATTAACTGCTACATCGATCACGCCTCACTCGATGTAGTTAAACTAAGTAAACTTCATGAAGTATGATTATCTCTGCGCACAAACTGCTGAGTTGAGATCCGCTTGTTCCTCAGCTGCTCCGAAACCATTTGTTATTCGGATGCTGTCCCAGTGATTGATGGAGTAACTACAGCTTACTCCATCGTAAATCGTAGTACAATTTCAGATGGCATATCCCTATGTATTACGCGGAATCGTCCGTTTCAGTCAAAAAGAAGAAATAATGCGAACTGTATAGACCGTGTGCTCACAAGTAGTCTTAATAAGGTAGAGCTGAAGAAACCTGCATTTGGGTTCAGGTGAATCGTCACTTGAAACCTGAATTTCGCCCTTTTCATTCTGGCCACTCTCACTTTTGGTTCTATAACGCTTGCTCTGGTTATCCTATGGGACTTGTCAAGCTTTCATTTGTCACCCATTGAAAATCATTTGTTCAGGTATAGAGGGACATTACAAGTCCACAAGTCCCAAAAAGCTTAGTTATGTCAATGAAAATCAAGCAGACGCACTTCATTCATTCCTAGTCTAGCTGTTGCATCTAGTTGACACTGTTGTGCTCTGAACCTTCCGAGCTTACCGTGCAGCTACATATCGACCCGTTTTGGCTTATTATGAGCTCTTGTTTGTGCACCAGTAAACTTTTCGGCAGACAGCCGTGTTCACCGCGTCTTCGGTCTTTAAATTGAAACGATGACTATCGATCAGGTAAGGGCAACCTGCTAACCGACACTGCTACTGTCGTTCTACAGCGGGCTGTAATTCACTTCAGACAATCAGCGTACGCGAACGACTTCGGATTCAATTTGGTTCATCTCAATTAGATTCCAAGCCGCATAGGTAAGCTACCAATCCGGAAAAGCACCAGACTCGCGTTTCGCCCTATTGGGGCTTGTGAGTGGTGTGCATCCATCGGTCCCCTACTGCGGATAGAACGCATGACCGCTCATGGCTGACGCCAACTAGCCAGCAGCTTATGCCACTGAGCCATGGGGGACAACAACTGACCACTAAAAATGGGAACCTAATTGCGATATAGCCCGATCCATCCTCCACTGCCGTGCAGGTTATTGCCCGTGCAGAGGACAGTGCTTGGCCATCACTGTCAGGTCTTCCCTTGCCATCGCCGTGAATCCACACAGCAACTTTGAATACTGGTAGGGCTAAGAATTCGGATTCGTATCTCAAGACAACATCGCGTATTTGAGACATGCAAGCCAACTTCAAAGAGGAACAGTCAACACTCTTAGGGAGGTCAATGGGGAATCTCCATCGACCATCTGGTGGCCGAGTAGTTTCATCAACTTCGCAGTGCTCCAAGCCGAACGCTACTGGTGGTAGTCGCGCCGCGGTGAGGCGTCGGTATGACGGTCCGGTGTGTTACTGCCACCATACTGTATAACAAAGAACGCATTTTGATCCATACTCTCCATACCGATCAATGCTGTCACGTACACACTTGAGTACCGATTTGTAAACACAGGCCCTCA